GAGGAGACCTAACCTGTGAGATCTAATCGGTCTCTGGGAGATAATCGCCAGGAGGCGGTCTCTCTTATTCTTCCTTAGGCATGGTCATTTCTTGATGTCCTTGGGCAGGGGTGGGCTTCAAAAATTTTAGCTTTCTTTAGGGTTCTCTGCCCGGTTGCATGGCCATGGTGGGTGTGGCCTAATCGGCCTTGTGTACCATGATGGGGGGGGGACGACACATTTTCATCCTCCCTGAGCTCTGGAGGCTTTTCTTGAGCCTCCAGAAGGCCGTTTTTTGCCCTCCCTTAGCCTCTGCGCAGGCCCTGTACTTACCTGGCATGCAAAACTGGCCACATGGAGACTCCTGGGAGGGGAGGGGTGGGCAGGGCCAGCCAGGGGTGAGATTTGCAGGTTCTCTGAACTCTGCAGAATCTTAGCTAGAGGTTCTCCCAAACCCGGCGAACCCATAACAGCCCCCCCCCTGACATTGGGCCCAGTCATTCCCTTTAACCCCAAACCGTTCTAACCTCAGCATCTGTTATACAATAAACTGGCTGGAAAACAAAGCCCCTCATCACATCATACATTATAATAATGCCTCACTGTGAGAACTGGGCAAATACAGTGCAAGTGGATCTTGCAATTAAGCCAGACAAAATGCCAAGAAAAAACAACACGTGGACTTTATAGTCATCTAGATAACTTTGATCTACAATTTCTATAAATCCCTGATCTTTGGCTGTGTTGACTGAGTCTGATGTTGCATTTGGAGAACATACCAGATATAAAATGAGATGGTTTTTTTAGGGGGGGGGGCAGATATAAAAGTGCTAAATAATTCCTAGTTAACAAAGGTTTTCTGATATACATCTCCTATGAGAAAACTTTATAGATTTCTCCATATCTTTGTTTTGTAGGCCATGCTTTAACAAACTCAATTTATTTATTTATTATTTATGTATTTATTGAACCTATATGCTGCCCACTTCTAGGCAGTTTACTATTAATAAAACACCAATGTAAAACATTAAAACAATAAATAATAACACTCAGTTTGGTTTAAAATTGACAAAGATGGGAAGGAAGAGAGCAAGATGCACACAGGGAAGAGGTGAGGTGTTATCTTAGTCCATTAACCACCTCCAGAATGACACTCCCCACTCTGGGGGTCCCAGGCCAGTTAGCAGAAACTTCAAGCCCCTTTGGAAGGCCCAAAGATTAGGTGATCTAGCCTGAGGGTGGGGACATGATATTCCAGAGGACGAGAGCTGTGGCAGAAAAGGCTCTTCTCCTGGATTCCATCAGCCAGAATTCCTTGATTGACACGGTCCACAGCATATGTGTGTATGTGGGGGGGGGGGGGATGAGGCAATCTGATTGGGGTGAGACAGTTTCTCAGATAACCTGGACCCATGCTATGAAGGGCTTTCAAGATAAGAAACGACACCTTAAATTGGACCAGGAAGCAAACTGGCAACTAGTGCAGTTTGCTTAAGAGTGGTGTAATATGGGCCACACTAGTGGCCCCAAGGACTATCCTGCATTCTACATCTCCCTAATACTCATAAAGGGTAACCCCGTGTAGAGTGCATTACAATAGTCCAACAGTGAGATGAATTCTTGGTAGGCCTGTGATACTTTAAGGCTCAGATCCCTTGTCTCCTAAAACTCCTTGGCTTAAAAAAAAAAGTGATGATAGCAATCTTCTTCTTCCCCAATACAAAACAAATAGTTCTAAGCTTCATGAATATTTGAGATGATATTGACGTAATGGGTGAATGATTTTACATGTTGAATTTCATATTACATTTCCAGCATGTAACATTTCCGATTTCCAACATATTGGAACAATAAAAAAAAATGAACCTCAATCGCTATTGGATTATTCATGTGAGTATAATGGGAACCATTCTCCCTATTTTTGCATGCAGGCATTGATGGGAAAGGCATATGGGTCTTTGCCTAGAAAAACTGTGCCAAGAGCAGAGGAAGCAAGTGCTATGAACTTTGCCACTTTGTGGGATTTCAGTGTAAGTAGACAATTTTACAATCATGTGCTACATTAGGGCAATCATCTCATTCTAATTATGTGGGATGACACTCAGTATGCTCTTCTGGCCTCTTGACAAGCTGACTAGTAATTTGGGAATGGTTTCCCAACGTTTGGAGAATATTTGACTGGGAAAAACTAGGCAGTGTTGGTTTTATTGCCTTATGGAAAATGTAAAACTGAAATACTGGCAAATTTCTAAGGGTTGTTAATTCCATATATGACATTTAACTGAATTTAGCAAAAATATTCAAAACCATTTTGGGAACAAGAATAAAAATGGTCCCCAATGGGATTCAGTGGAACTTTTCCATAACCCCCACCCCCCCCCCCCAAACCAAAAAAAACAACAACAACCCTGGACTGATTTGTCACAGTTTTCTTATATGAATAATGAAGATGGAAGATCTCTCACTTCATTTCATATTTATTAAGTTGATGTGCTGTAAAACAGATTCCGGGGACTTCTTTGTGAATTGCTCCAGGACAAATTCGTGATGTTCAAAAACTCTCCAGGGAGATTTGCTTCAGGAGCAGAAGGACTCTGTAGGATTCATTTGGTCCTTTCTGCCTGTCAGTCTGCAAAGTGACAGTCACAAGGAAAGAAAGCAAGGAGAGAGAGAGAGAGAGAGAGAGAGAGAGAGAGAGAGAGAGAGAGAGAGAGAGAGAGAG